AGTGAGTGCACTGGGTTCCTGTTTCTCCACATCCTCACCAACACTTATCTCTTGTCTTTTTGATGATAGCTATCCTAACAGGTGTGAGGTGGTATCTCATTGTGGTTTTTATTTGCATTTCCCTGATGATTAGTGACGTTGAGCACCTTTTCATGTACCTTGTTGACCATTTGTATGACTTCTTTGGAAAAATGTCTACTCAGATCCTCTGCCCATTTTTTAATTGGATTGTTTGGTTTTTGCTGTTCAGTTCTTTATATATTTTGGATGTTAATCCGTTATCAGATAGATGATTTGCAAATATTTTCTCCCATTCCATGGGTTGCTTTCATTTTGTTGGTTTCCTTTGCTAAGCAGAAGCTTTTTAATTTGATGTAATCTCACTTGTTTATTTTTACTCTTGTCTGTGCTTTTGGTGTCAAATCCAAAAATATCATCACCAAGTCCTGTGTCAGGGAGCTTTTCCCCCTACACTTTCTTCTAGTTGTTTTACGGTTTCAGGTCTTATGATTAAATCTTTAATCCATTTTGAGTTGGTTTTTGTATATGATGTAGGATAAGGGTTCAGTTTCATTCTTTCACAAATGACTGTCCAGTTTTCCCAGCACCATTTATTAAAGAGACTGTCCTTTCCCCATTAAGTATTGGTAGTCTTGTTGAAGATCAGTTGACCATATATGCATGGGTTTATTTCTAGGCTCTCTATTCGGTTCCATTGGCCTGTGTGTCTGTTCCTATGCTGATTCCATGCTGTTTTATTACTATAGCTTTGTAATATAGTTTGAAATCAGAGAGCATGATGCCTCCAGCTTTGTTCTTTTTCAAGATTGCTTTGGCTATTTGGGGTCTTTTGTGGTTCCATACTAATTTTAGGATTGTTGTTCTATTTCTGAAAAAAATGCCATTGATTCCAATGGGCATTGCAGTGAATCTGGAGATGGCTTTGGGCATTGTGGAGATTTTCACAATATTAATTCTTCCGATCCAAGAGCACGAGATATTTTTCCATTTATTTGTGTCGTCTTTAGTTTCTTTCATCGGTGTCTTATAGTTTTCAGTGTGCAGGTCTTTCCTCTCCTTGGTTAAATTTTTTCCTAGGTGTTTTATTCTTTCTGATGTAATTGTGAATGGGATTGTTTTGTTAATTTCTTTTTTGGATAATTCGTTGTTAGTGTATAGAAATGCAAGTGATGGTGTCCCATAATTCATGCAGGCTTTCTTCACTGTTTTTCATTCTTTTTCTTTTTGTTCCTCTAACTGGCTGATTTCACATGACCTGTCTTCAGGTTTGCTGACTCTTCCTTCTGCATGACTGATTCTACTGTTAAAGCTCTCTGTTGAGTTTTTGGTTTTGTCATTGTATTCTTCAGCTCCAGGATTTCTGTTTGGTTCTTTTTTATGATTTCTGTTTCTTTACTAAACTTCTTATTTTGTTCCTACATTGTTTTCCTGATTTTATTTAGTTGTTTGTGTTCTCTTGCATTTCATTGAGTTCCTTTAAGATGATTATTTTGAATTCTTTGTCAGGGTGTTTGTAGATCTCCATTTCTTTGGAATCAATTACTAGAGCCTTACTAGTTTCCTTTGATAGTGTCATATTTGCCTGATCCTTGTAACCTTGCTTTGGTGTCGGTGCATTGGGAGGAGCAAGCACCTCTTCCTGTCTTTATAGATTGATTTGGCAAGTAAAGACCTTCTCCTGTTGGTTCAGGCTAATGGGATTACTTATGGACTCACAGTCGTGGTGGGTTGGAGCCAGGTCACGAGGCTGCTCCTGGGTCTGCAGTGGAGTGCACAGTTGGCAGAACTTGAGTGGGTGTGGATCCAGCTTGGTCCCTGGGTGCTCTGGGGGCCTAGACTGGTGTGTCTCCTGGTGGGTTTCTGCATGGGCAGAACTGCTCATGGACTGGCAGCACAGCTGGGAGGGGCTGGAGTCAAGTCAGAGGTCTATTTCAGGCACTGCTGTCAGACTGAGGTTGGCTGGCCTATCTCCAGGGGCATGCCAGGGTCTTTCCCAGAGGGACCCTTGGCTGGCAGGACTGCTTGTGGACTGTGGCAGCGCGGGGTAGGAGCCCACTTCCAAGACCCTTTCAGTATCTACAGTCTGACGGAGTTTGGTGGGCTTGCCTCCAGGGGCTTCTAGACTGCAGCCAAGAGCAGCTGGAGCTTGGTCATGGACCACTTTGGGGTCCAGAGCCAGGACTGAGGTCTGTGTGCCAATATATTGCCCAGGGCACAGGTGGGCATGACTCCTCCTGTGACTCTTGGTGGGTGGTGCTGGTGACAGGACCAAGCCAAAGGGAGCTGTAGCCAAGTCCTTAGGGGTACAGTGCTGTTTCCAGGTCTATAGCCAGGACCTCCACTGGCAAGTCAGCTGCCTCTGTGTGGGCCTGCCTCCTCAAAACGGCTTTCCTTGGTCTTGGATCGCACTGGGGTTTCACTCTCTCCTACCTGGATCCCACAGCTCCCACAAAGGCACTTTAGTCCGAGGATAGATGCCAAATTGTTGTTGCCGAGAGGAACACGAGTGGGGACCTCCTATTCCACCATCTTGCTGATGGCACTCTCCATCTGTTTGGTTTTGCTGGAGAGGGAAAGTCCAGTCCCTGTTCTCCATCTTGCCTGGTCGCAGATGACCTTGTGTCTTACTTAACTGTGAAGACTGGAGCTGTCAAAAGGGCACTTCTGCACCCCAACACCCCTGAATCTCACAGTCTTCTGTCTGTGACCCCTCCTCTCCTGTGTCCTCATGCTCTTTATCTGCTGTGTCAGGAATCTTCCACATTGCTGTATCCTCTTGTGTTAAATGAAACCGCCCTCAACACTCTATCTTCCCCCAGCAGAACTCTCCAGAAGAATCGTCTGGACCAGCTATCTCCCCGCTCACCTCCTGTGCCCTCTTGAGCCCCACCCATGTAGACTGTTGTCCCAGCCACATCACCAGCCCTGCATTTGTCCAGTCTTCAGTGACATGATGCTGCCAGGCCAGTGGGGAATTTACCTGACTCACCGTGTCCTTGTGATTCCCGCCATCGCCACGTCCTGCCTCCCCAGGCATGTGCTCTCAGTTTTCCTAGGAAGGCACATTCTGGGCCCTCAACTGTTCCTACATTCCTGGTTTAATTCCCACGCTTACCTTGAAGAGTCTGGAATGTTAGTGTATCCTTGATTATTGCATCAGCGTCCTAACTAGGCTCCCTGCTTCCCTCTTGTGCCCTTACCATCCGTCTTCAACACAGGACACTGGGCTTTCTCCGAGGCAGAAATTGGTTTCCCACCACATTTAGGTTAGAATTCTCGTGTCTTCACTGTGACCTGCAAGGCCCCTAGATCTGACACTCACCCTCCCCGCCTCTGTGGCCTCCTTTCTGACCATGTTTCCCCACTCATTCTCCCAGACATCCTGGCCTCCCTCCTGGTTCTTGAGGGCCCCCCCGCCCAGGCCTGTGCACTTGCTGCACCCCTGCTTAGAATGCACTTCCCACAGACCCTGGACAGGCCCACCCTCTCCTCCATCAGATCTCTGCTCCATGCCACCTCCACACCAAGACCCCTCTGACCATTCCGTCTAGAGCAGGTCTGTGGCACACTATCCCATGTGGTGTTTTCCTGTGTCAGATTCTACTTGATGCTCTGTGTAGTGTTTACTTATTTAACTGTTGATTGCCTCTCCCGCTGAGAGCAGAGACCTGGCCTTATTTAGGCTGAATAAACAAGTGCTACAACAATGCCTGGCATACAGCAGGTGCTTAGTAAGTGTTACATTTAAATGGGTGATTAGGAGAGGCCTTTCTGGACCAAGGAATGAAATCGGGTTGTGGTTTCAAGGGCCTTTTCTAATTTCCAGTCTCATCAAATTCATTGGTTTTGTTTGTTTTCTTGTCTTTTGGTGATTTTGTTTTTTTGCTCGTGGGAGTGGATTTTATTAAAGCTCTTCATATAAAACAGACACAAGCTCTCTGTCCTTATTTGTTATAAATGCCCCCACTTTGTCTTTGCTTTTTGATGGTCTTTGATTTCTAAAATACGAATATCGCTTGTCAGAAAATTCCACATGTATGATTATGCCTTGCAAATTTATATAGAAGCATACAAAAATTCTGAGTTCTAAGTGTGTCAGTGCTTTTTCTCTCCTGCCACCTAAAATGGGGTCCTCACCCCAACCTCCGGTGTGGAAGTCCTGCTCTTGCCGCATGCAGAGTGCCGGCGGTGTCGGGGCCTCACCCCAACCTCCGGTGTGCAAGTCCAGCTCCCGCCACATGTAGGGTGCTGGCAGTCCCGGGGCCTTACCCTGAGCTCTAGTTCTCTGTCCTAGAGGCCCTAGGTCTATGACAGGTGGTTCGTGTGACTCACATATGGACGGTGCCATCTAGCATCTTAGGAGAAATCTCCTGTAGAGTCTAGTCCCAGCTTCTGTTTCCTTTTGAGGATCTGTTTATTTAGTATTTTCCAGTAGGATCTCTTTAACTCCACAATTTCTTACTGTAACCAACTGCCTAGAAATTTAAAGGCAGGGTTTATAAGGCTCTGGTGCAGAAACTGCCTAGTCCTTAGGCCCTGGTGTTTATGATCCCAGCCTTGATTTTTTGGTGTGTATTTATCATTTCTTTATTTTGATTCTTTCCTTTATATTTTTTTATTATTTTAGTATCTGTGTTCTTGTAGGTTACTTGAAAATCCTTTTTGAATAGAGGCGAAGCATTAAATAAGCTTACACTTATTTTGTGATAAAAAGCACCTGCTAAATTTTGCTAATAAATCTTACTCTTCAGATTATTTTTCATAACTGTTGTTTTTCTTTGGGGGAGAGGGATTTTTTGAGTTCTTTTGCTTATGATTTCTCTTTTTTTAGTAGGTAAAATAACATTTTTCTTATATTCTCTGTATACCATGTAGATGAGTTAATATGTATATTGAAAACATTAGAATTGCTTTTACTGAATCATCTGCTTGGTACCTTTTAAGCCATTTTTCCTGAATTGATCATTACTTTTATGTAGGAAGAAATGAGCCTCAACCAGAAAGCCAGGAAGACCCTCGAGAAGTACTTAAAAAAACATTGGAATTCTGCTTATCTAGGTAAGGACGGTATTTGTTTTTCTAGTACCTAATATCTATGGTGTTCTACATTCGTCATTATAGACAAATGTGACAGGAGTGTGTATCTGTTTATGTCTGGGTACATCTATTAATAGGAAATCTAAACTATTGAGTAGTAATAACCTTTGGCATGTTGGAGAACTGAACATAATCCTCTGGGCCACTGTTCTCCACGGGTGTCCACAGATTCATCTTGATCATTATCTGGGTTGCTTTTGGAATTTGGATTCCTGGGCCTCACCCCATGCCCATGGAATCAGAGTCTGGGGGTGGAGCCTTAGGTTGTCAATCTCACAGAGACGTTTTTAGCACATTAGTTTCAGAACAGGTTTCCTATACTAGTTCTCAAAATACGCCAAACACTACAGTAGCAAATTGTTTTATTTATATAGCACGCATCTTTTTACTTGTTGGTTTTTTGCTCCCCCCAAATACCTTTTCTATTGGAGTAGAACCTTTAAAGTTCAAGTGATAGAACTGGACATAGAAGAAGATGGGATTAGATTACATATAATGTTCTTTGACTATGAAGATAACCAAATGGCTATGTGTAGAGTTTTCTATTAATAATGGTGATTTTTCAGGTTTTTCTCTGGGCCTGCCTTAAGACCTCATAGAGGTGTCTGGTGAGGGCTGCCTCAGAGACAGTAGGGCTGCATGAGGCGAAGCTGAGGGCCGTGTGCTGGCCTTCCTTCCACGTCCATATGTTCACAAATTAGGAAACTCCATATGCTGCATGATGACATACTTTAAAAGGAGAAAATGCTGCTGCAAATGTTGAAAAACCTTGTCTGCACCACTCACAAACCCTGCTCTGTCCCTCCTCTGGCCAGTATCCTCATATCTGCAAGATAGCTAACCTAGATGAGGGGGTCAGAACAGCGTTTACCTCTACAAAACAGTAGCTTTATTCAGCTTTGCAATTGTCATTGGCCTTCACCGCAGGACCAGTGAAACCGAGTTTAATTGTGTCTGGTATGGAGATGTTTTTGAGCGTAATGTCCACTTTATGGAAACAAACATCATAGACCATAGACCAAAGTACCAGGAAGTAGCTCGTCGTCACCTAACCTACTGGTTATCTGTGGCTTACCTTGTGACCTTGTGGGTCATGTTGTTGATCATGTTTCCTTCTTTTTAATCCTGGCTGCTGAAAAGTGCTAGGAAGCCAGAGTTGGATTTGCAACTTCTCTGGCAAGTGTCCAGACTGAACAGCATGCACTTTGGGTACCAACCTTTCTCAGCTTTTTCATATTTTTCTTACCGTCTTGTTCTTTCAGCTGGATTTCCTTACTTAAAAATTTGTGTCTGTATTTTTTAATAAGCTACTCAAACACTTTTTAGAACAAAGATAGGCTATAAATACATTTTTTAAAGATTTACCTGCTAATTAATTTTGATTGTATAAAGTGCAGTATACTTTTACTTTTGCTCTCTATGCCTCCCTAGATGCCTCTGAAAAAAATGTACCTACAGTCAGAGATGGCAAATACAGGTGGGGTTTGAACTCAAATCTGACTCTGAAGCGATACCATGCCACACTTGTACCTCTTGCGAAGCTTCCTTTTAAAGAAATCTTAATTAAGAAAGATTGTCTTCTTTCTGCAGGGAGAACCTTGCTAGTGACATGTACCTTATATCACAGATGGACAGTGATCAGTACGTGCCAATCACCACGGTAGCTAACCTGGACCACATCAAGAAGCTCAGCACCGACATGGACTTGATTGTCGAAGTGCTGAGATGTAAGTGAACAGCAGTCCGGCTGAATCATACCTGGTCTTCATGGCGTTTTTCTCACTGGTGTGACCTTTAGATCCACAGCCATTCAGTGCTAAGGTACTTAATGGCAAGTGGAGTCTTCCCTGGCCTTCTGGGCCTTTCTGACAGCCCCCGTGTCTGGCGCTGGGACATGGATGGGCTCCGTAACTGAAACCTCAGACGCATCCCAGATTGTAGGTCCTGGGAGCAGAAAAGGCTAACAGAGAGATTAAAGACAGCTGTGACATTAATGAAAAAAATAACGATACTTAGGGTAAAGTAGAATACATTTTAATTAGTATTCTAACCACTAAAGGAGTTTCTTTCAAATTGCAACTTCCTGCTGAAATTTGGGTGAAATATTATTGCATTTTCTCTTAAAAGGATATTGTGAATGAAGTTGTTTCTTGGACATTTGGCAACATCAAAGGAAGGTTTAAACCCTACATCAGAGACCTGCAGAGATTCAGGAAATGCGGATATTTAAAGTGTTACCTGCCGTGTCACAAGTGTAGTTTGTGGTGCCCTGGTTTGCTTTGCAGATTGAGGCTTCTACAACCTAACCAGTTTATCTATTTATTTTTAAAAAGCCACCTTACTGAAGTATAATTGACGTAGTGAACTGTGTGTGTGTTTAAAGTGTACCGTTGGATCAGTTTGGACCTGCGTATACATTGGTGGACTCTTCATCGCAGGATTAGGAGCATGTGCCCCTCTGCCCAGAGTTTCCTGTGCCCCTCCCACCCAGGATGGCTTCACTGGGAATTAGTTTTTATATTAAATGTACAATATATTGGATTTCTTTGTAAATGGGATTGGTTTTAATTATAAAAATTTACTTTTTGTAGTAGGGCTAAAAGTACCAGATGAGTTATTTCTCCATCCTCAGGACTGCTCTACTGAGCAACTCCAATGGGTACCCTTAACGAAGAACAGTGTGACGTGTGTCCCCCTACACCCTGCCTAAGTATTTCCAAATGATGGGACGTTGCGTGCCTGAATTAAAGCCTCATTTCTCTATGTCACTACCGTGACTTTCCATCACTGACACTTAGGCGGAAGTGTTCACATATTGTCCCTGGCTTAGCTGACTGCTGACAGTCAGTGAAGATTTTTTTCTTGTCGCATTTGACTTAACAGTAGTAGAAAAAGATGAACATCTTACCTTAGAACTTAGTTGGATTGTCTTTTCACAAATAAAAGTTCTCTATTTTCTGTTCCTAGGCATATGTTGTAAGGTCATTAAATTATTGAACCACATAATAAACTGGCAGACATAATCCATGAAATTTGAATTCTGAAAATTATAGCACAGTTTCCCAAGATCCTGTTTTGCTTTCTAATGTTGCTTTGTTGATGTATCAGTTGAGTTTGGTTCCATCTGACCCACTTAAAACGGCCAGTGGCTTTCTTAACCTAAACACACTTTACTCTGTTAACAGTCTTTGGTTATTACTAGGAATCCCAGATTTGGTTATTCCTTTTAGGCATTCCTCGGAAACTTGGCTGCCCCACTGAGGAAAATTTCTCAGTTGATGCTTGCTGGCGAGGGGTCATTCGTGCAGACTCCGAGGATGTTTAATTGCCCTGCATATTTGCTTAAAGGAGCTGTTTCTATCATGGACAGCCCTGTCACTCTCTCCACTCCTTTTCCAGGGCTGTGTTTTGAGGTTCTTGAGTTGTAATGTTATCTGCTATTTGTATTCAGTTCTTTAGTGTCTAATTGTCTCTCTTCAGTCAATCTTTGGACAGAAATATATGTGCATATGTAATAATCTATATGAACAGACTATAGTTAGCATATTATTATATTTGTTGTAGTTCTGAAGAGGGGGGACATAAATAAGCCTCTGTGAGCAGAGATCGCTTCTTAAATTTAAATCTTATCCTCATCCCCAAAATGCCTGGCATAGAGTCAGACACACACACAGTAGGCATCTGGTAACATTTTATTTTAATTTGGATATTCCCTAGTACAACACTGAAACTCTCGTGTTGATTGAGTTGCGTAAATTACATTTTTAGACTATTTTTATACATAATACACATATAGTGCGTGACACAGTATATCTGATTCAAATGCTTTGTTTTTACACTTAATATAATTGAAATTGCTAACTTAAAAAAACACTGAAATATTTGTCAGCAGAGTATGAATAAATACATTGCGATGTAGCCACACAGTGAATACTAGAGCAGTTATTAAAATGAACTAGGCGTACGTTTTTCAATAAGAATAAATTTAAAATCATAATGTTGCATATAAAAGCGTATTTCAAACATGCACAAAATGATACCATTTATATAAAGTTTAGGTATGTGTAAAACAGAACCATATTTTTTATGGATTTGGAGGTCCGGGGTAAGAGTATAAAAGCATGAATAGCATTGAAACTCCTGATTCAATGTGACTCTTGTGGGCAACTGGACTAGGGAGAGAGGAGAGGAACAGAGGGTTTCGCCAATACCTGTTTATTTGTTCTGTTTTACAGCTTTATTTAGGTAGAATTTATCTACCATAAATTACACATGGTTTAAGTGTACATTAGGTAAGTTTTGACGTATTTATACAACCACAGAACTACCACAATCAAGGTAATGAATATGTCCATCAGCCCCCGAATTTTCTCTTGTCCCAGGCAACCACTTGTCTGCTTTTTGTCACTATAGATTAGTTTGAATTTTCTAGAAATTTTATATAAATGGAATCAGTGGTACAGTATCACTTTTTTTTGGTCTGGTTTCTTTCAGTTAGCATAATTATTTTGTTGTTGAGTGTATCAGTAGATCATTGCTTTTTATTGCTCAGTAGTAGTCCATTGAGTAGATACACCACAGTCTGTTTATTCACCCCCTGGTTGATAGACTTTTAAGTTATTGCAGGTTTTGAGTACTACAGATGAAGTTGCCATGAACATTCGTGTAGGTCTCTGTGTGGACAAATGCTTCCATTTCTCTTGGGTCAGTAGCTGAGAGTGGAGTATCTGTATGGTATGATAGGTGTACGTTAACTTGTGAAATTCCCACCTGTTCCAGAGTGATCATACCATCTCAGAGTGGGCATCTCCCGCAGTGATGCAAGCTCCCTTGCTCCTATCCTTGCCAACACTTGGCATGCACAGACATTTTAGTTTTAGATTTTCTAATAGGTGTGTGTGGTTATCTCACTGTGGTTTTAATTTCTATTTCCCTCATGCCTGCTGACATTAAGCAGTCTTTTCATGTGCTTATTTGCCCTCCTCTTATCTTTTTTGCTGAAGTGTCTATTCAGGTGCCCCCTACCCTCGCCACTTTTTTATTACTTTTCTTACAATTGAGATTTGAGGGTGGGGGTGTGTGTGTGTGTGTGTGTAACTTCAGATATGTATTATCTGTATTCTGGATGTAAGTCCTTCTCAGATATGTGATTTGCAAATACATTCTCCCAATCTATAGCTTCTCTTTTTATCCTCTTAATAGTATGTTTTGAAAAGCAGAGTTTTGAATTTTCTATATAGTCCAGTTTATTAATTTTTTTCTTTTATGGATCTTGCTTTTGGTGTTGTACCTAAGAAATCTTTGCTTAATCCAAGGGCACGAAGGTTTTCTCCTAGAAGTTGTATCATTTTAGGGCTTACATATTTGGGTCTGTGATCCATTTTTAGCTAATTATTGTAGCTATGGATCGCAAGTTCTCTGCCCCTTGCTTGTGGATATGCACTGCTCCAGCACCGTTTGTTGAAAAGGCTCTCCTTTCTCCACTGCCTTGCCTTTGCAAGAATCATTTGTCCCTAAACGTGTGAGTTCGTCTCTGGGCCATGTGTCTGTCCTTGATTTGTTTGTCTGTTTTGACACCAGTACTGCAGTGTCTTGATTACTCTGGCTTTATAATAAGTCTTGTTTTTTGTGAGGAAGATCAGCCCTGAGCTAACATCCATGCCAATCCTCCTCTTTCTGCTGAGGAAGACCGGCCCTGAGCTAACATCTATTGCCAATCCTCCTCCTTTTTTTTTCCCTTTTTCTCCCCAAAGCCCCAGTAGATAGTTGTATGTCATATTTGCACATCCTTCTAGTTGCTGTATGTGGGACGCGGCCACAGCATGGCTGGAGAAGCGGTGTGTCGGTGCGCGCCTGGGATCCTAACCTGGGCCGCCAGTAGCGGAGCGTGCGCACTTAACCGCTAAACCACGGGGCTGGCCCGAAATTATATTTTTTATTTCAACTTCTAGTTTGGTGCTAGTATGTAGAAATAAGTTCATATTTGTATATTGATCTTGTATATTAAAACCTTGCTAAACTCATCAATTCTAGTTTTTTATGGAAATTGTATCAGATTTTGTACATAGAGATAAGCTTGTTGTCTGTGAATGAAGAGGTTTGCCTAGTTATTACCCAGTCTGGGTGCGTTTAATTTCTGTTTCTTGCATTATTTCCCTGGCTCGACCCTGCAGCACAGTGGTGGATGGAAGTAGGGAGAGTAGTGTCCTTGCCTTGTCCGGTCTTCAGGCACGTGTGATGCTAAGCGTTGGTTTTTCATAGGTGAGGAGGTTTCCCTTCTGTTCCTAGTTTGCTGAAAATTTTTGTCAGAAATGAATTGTTGGATTTTGTGGAATACTTTCTCTGCATCTATGAGAAAATTGTATGGTTTTAGTTTTTTAATCCATTATATGATCAATTACATTGCTTAATTTTCAATTGGTAAACCGACCTTGCTTTACTGAGGAAAATCCCACTTGTCATTATTTGTTGTCATTTTTATATATTGTTGGATTCAATTTAGCAAGATCTGGTAAGAATTTTTAATGTTCATGAGGGATGTTGGTCTCTAATTTTTTTGGTTTGTAATGTCTTTGTTTAGTTTGGGTATCAGAACTGCTGGCTTCACAGGTTGAATTGGAAAGTACTTTCAGGTGGTTTGGAAGAGTTTGTACTGTAGAATTGGTATTATTTTTTTCTTGAATATTTGATAGGATTCTCCAGAAACTGTGTGGCCTTGAGTTTTCTTTTCTCATAGATCTCAGTCTGTTCTGATGACTTCCTCCTGAGAGTGAGCTTTGGTCGTATGTGCCTTTTAAGGAATGTTTCTATTTCATGTAAGTTGTCTGATTTATTAGCTTGAACTTTTTCTCACTATTCCCTTATGATCCTTTTAATAATAGTACAACCTGTAGTGAAGTTACACCTTTCATTCCTGATGTTGGTAACATGTCTTTGTGGTGGTAGACAGCTCTGAGCCCCGATTGTGATGATGATGTGCTGTGACTTGAATCTACACATGATATAGTTTCGTAGAAGCGACACCAAAAAACAAAACATGGCAGAAAGGAGTGCACATACAGACTGATGAAATCTGAATTAGACCTGTCCCTGCGTTAGCAGTGTTGTCCCAACAACAGCCTCCTTGTTTTGACTGTGGACTGTGATTGTGTAAGATGTCGTCATCAGGGAAAGCTGGATGAAGGGTACATGGCAACTTCCTGTGAGTTCAAAATAAAAAGTCATAGTAAGACAGAAAATTGTTTTATTTTGGGGAAAGGAGAAAGCCGTTAACCCTGAATTGTAATCTACTTTTAGTTGTTTGAGCTGTTTACAATTTTTGTTTCCTAAACATTTATTATAGCTCTTATAGAAATTTTTAAATTCTCATGTTTCTGAGTTTTGAGAAATGTAACATGCAAGATTGGTTTAAAACCTTTTGATAGTTGTTGTATACAGGTTTCTTTAATGTGTTTAGTAATATACTATAACACTCTATATACTGTAACATCCTGCTGGAGTGTCTATATTATGTCATACTAGAATACAAATGGTTGATTTGTTTTAATATTTGTGTTTTACCATTCATTTTTCTTTTCATAGCTTTACCTTTAGTCCAAGTGGATGAGAAGGGAGAAAAAGTAAGGCCGAATCAGAATCGTTGTATAGTAATATTGCGGGAGATCCCTGAGTCCACCCCTGTAGAAGTAAGTTGTTTCTCCTCTGAAGGGCACTTGGACACTTCTGGTGGGTTTTTTGTTTGTTTTGATTTTTTTTCTTACTTCTGTGTTTTTTGGAGGGTGTATTTTAAAGAATAAATACATGCAGTAACACTTTCTCCCAGATTTACACACTCTGATAGTTACAGTGTGATTCATTTTTAAGAGTGGTTCTCAAGTTTGTTGGTCTCAGGTCTCCATTACACACTGTACATTAAAAAAATAGGGATAGTTTATGGTAATTTCAATATTTAGAAATTAAGTGAGAAAAGGTTTAAATATTCATTTAAAAAATAAGAATAATAAACTCACAAGTGAAGATAAAAACACATTTTTATGCTAAATAACTTCAAAGCAAATATTTTCATGACAAGAGGGGTACTGTGAGGAGTTCACACCATTATAGCTTGTGCTTGACACGAGCTGACCTGCCAGCATCAGTGTAAATGTCGCATCAGTGTAAGTATCGTCACAGTAAAGAGGCAGAGACATCTTTTTTTATATAAATGGAGTCTGGAGATCATAATTTGAGAATTACTAACTTAGGCAATAATTTTAGGCAACCACAGTATTTGATAGGTTAAGAGTCATGAAAAGTAATCAACCTTTCCTGCATTGCTGTAAAATCTGTTACTTGTCCAAATTTTTAAAGTTACGTTGTGTCGTAAAACACACAGATGGTTGTACCTGGAAATAACGAGGGGAAGTCTTCATAGAGAGCGCTAATCATATTAGTTACTCATGCTGCGTACTTTCTAAGTCCCTTCTGTAGAGGAAATAGATTAGTGCATGTGTGGGTCTATTAAGGATAGTTCTTGGTGGAGTGTGACAAAGATGAGGTTCCAGCAAGACCTAGGATGAGAAATTACATCACTCTTGAACATGGTCTTGCTAGCAAGTTTTCTGTTCAACTTGGGCTGTATTTATTAGTTCTGTTGTAATAGGTAAAGAAAAAGAAATTAGGATTGTATTTTTTTCGTCCTCTTTTAATTAAGCTTCTGAATATGAAGGATCAGTATATTTCTTATTACTAATCTGGATGTCTTTATTAACTCACAGTAATATTTAAAACATAGGTCCTGAGTTTCAAGACTTGAGACATTTGTAAAGACTACAACCAAGAAGAATTGTCTACTTTTAGCTGCAGACATTGATCTTGGTGTATTTCTATTATTCCAAACAGCACAACCTACCTCTGTTGTAAAACTTGAACAATGAACATCTTAAGAGAGAAGTTTTAGAGAAAGCTCTATGATAAATTAAAAGTTGGACAAAAAAGGAAGGGAAAAAAAGTGGTCCAAACCAATCTGAACAAGAAAAGGACAATAAGTTCCTGAACACGTATAGTAGAGAGCCCTTCTGCTGGGGCTTGGGACCGTAGGCTAGCAGTTTTCAGAAAATCCTTTTTCTTTAAATGTAACCAAGCGCTTGTCAGTGATTAGAAAATTTTTTAAATTGTAATTCATTTGGTTAATTCCTTTGGTCCTTTTCAAAGTGTAACTGGCTAGTAGTCTTTTATGAAACTACCCTATTTTTCTTCTGGAATCTACTTTGTCTGGTGTTAATGTAGCCACTCCAGCTTTCTTTGATTCATGTTTTAGTGTAGTAGGTCTTTTTTCCATCGTTTACTTTTGACCCTTTTGTGTCTTTGCATTTAGAGTGGGCTTCTTATAAGCAGCTTAGAGCTGGGTCTTACTTTTCTTACCCACTCTGAATATCTCTGCCTTTTACTTGGGGAGTTTAGACCATTCCCACTTATGTGGTTCATAATGTGTTAGATTTAGTTCACCATCTTGCTGCTTGGTTTCTGTTCGTCTCTACTGTTCTTTGTTTTCTTTCCTTTTTCTCCTCTTTCTTTTGAATTAAGTGAGTATTTTTTCTCTCTTTTTTGGCTTATTAGATTTAACTCTTTGTTTTGTTTTAGTGTTTGCTTTAGGGTTTATAGTTGACATCTTTAGTTTATCAAAGTCTGCCCTTAATTAATATAATACCACTTTTCACCTTTCTGAAGTTCCTTCCAGTTTTCCATATCTGGTCTTTGTGCTATTGTCATACATTTTAATTCTGCATAGTCATAAATCTGCAATGTTTTGTTATCTTTGCTTTAAACAATTCAATTTTCTTTTAAAGTAATTAAAAATAAGAAAAATATGTTATATTTATTCACTATTTACCATTTACAATGCCTTTCATTCCTTTAACTAGATCTAGACTTTCATCTGGCATCATTTCTGTCTGAATATTCCTTGAATATTTCTTGTGGTGCAGGTCTACTGGTAATGAATTTTTCAGTTTTTGTATATTTGAGAAAATCTTTATTTCACCTTCATTTATGAAAGATATTTTCACTGGGTAGAGAATCCTGGATTGACAGGATTTTTTTTTCCTTCTGTATTTTAAAGATGTTGTTCTACTCTGTTCTGGTATTCATTGTTTCTGAGGATCAATCTGTCATTTTTATCTTTATTCCTCTGTGCATAATGAGTCTTCCTTTTTCTTGCTGCCTTCAAGAGCCTATCATTGGTTTTAAGCAGTTTGATTACAATGCACCTTGATGTAGCTTTCAGGTTTCTTGTACGTGAAGTTTACCAAGCCATTGTTTCTTCAAATATTTTTTGTCTTCTCCCTTCTCTTCTTTTCTTCTGAAAGTCTCTAACTAGCTGTTAATCCTGTTTAATGTATTTTTCATTTCAGACATTGTATTTTTCATGTCCAGAAGTTCAATTTGGGGCTGTCTTTGTTTTTTTTTTAATCTTGCATTTCTCTTTAACATGCTCAGTCTTTACCTATTTGAATATAGAATATGTATCCAATAACTATTTTAATGTCCTTGCCTACTAATTCCATCATCTATCATTTCTGGGTCTCATTTGATTGATTGGTTTTCTCTTATAGGTCATATTTTTCCATTACTTTGCATGCCTGGTAAATTTCAAATGGATGCCTGGCATTTTGGATTTTACTTTACTGGATACTGAATGTTTTTGTATTCCTTCCTATAAATATTCTTAAGCTTTGTTTTGAGGTTTAGTTAAGTGACTTGGAGCTGGTTTGATCATCACTTAAGGAGTATTTGTTAGGTGCAGCAGAGCCGCCTCTACTGCATGGCCAGGCTTCCCCACGCTGAGGCAGTGCCCTTTTGAATGCTCAGCCTGATGAATTAGGAAACTTTTCTACTCCAGCTGGTCGGAAGACACACTGCTCTGTCCCGGGAGCTCTGGGTTGTTCCCTGTAGTCATTTCAGGTGGCTGTTTCCCGCACCCAGAGCCTGGGGAGACCCCGAGAGCTGTGGTGTTGTCGGGCTGGGCCTGTGCTCACCCTCCTGGCACTGCACCTGGAAACTCCAAGCATGAGCTGGGTGCTCGCTGGCTCACCTCACATGTCCCTCTCAAGGATTATGTCCTGCACAGTCTGAGGGCCACTGTCTGAAAAACGTTATTTCATATATTTTGTCTTTTGTTTTTAATTGTTTCATGTGGGAGGGTAAATCTGGTCCATCTTAGCTGGAAGCAGAAGTCCAGCTAATTTTTAAATTTCTTAAATTACCTCGCCCCCCCCCATTGTGTAGTTATCAGCCTACTGTATAAAATGAAGTGATATTTTCACATTAATTTAGCTTAATGATATCTTGGGAGTAGGGTAGTTGTGGACTTATTTTTCCACTGGCAACGGGATCCTAATTCTGAAGCCACACTGAACTCCTTAACCATTTTGAAAGAGAGGTTTGCTAGGCCATCAGTGTGTTGTACTCTTGTCTAAGGATCTGTCCTTAAGAGTAGGCATCATCTGTTTTTGGTGAGGACAAATGGTGGCATAGTTGAGAATTAATTTCTAACCTCTCTATTCCCTGTAGGAAGTAGAAGCACTATTTAAAGGAGATAATTTACCGAAATTTATAAACTGTGAATTTGCCTATAATGATAATTGGTTTATTACATTTGAAACAGAAGCTGATGCACAACAGGTAAGCTCTTTGTACCACTACCCATGAAGTACAGAGTTCACCAGTACTTAACAATTAGTACGTAATGAGACTAAATTTGGGCATTGAGATTACTATTGCCTTGTGGTGTTAAGTTTAAATATATAAAGTGCAGAGGAAATCAAGTTGTAGAAACTTATATAGATGTGTTTGTGTAGACAGTTTTGTAGCGATATGAAAAATATGTGACATAATTTTCTGAGGACATGTAAGACAAGCAGCCTAGGAAAATGAGTTCTGTTCTTGTTTCTGGGCTTTTAATATTTGGAAAGCGTTTTGGGAAATTTGAACCTAACCTTAACTTTCACTAGGCATCATCGTATGTTACAAGATAATGTGAAAAGGCACTGAGAAGCCCTGTGAGGAGACACAGGAGTTAGGATGGTTTCCCTGCCCTGAAAGGAAGAATCTTCTTTTGGGGGAAACATTAGCATGCATGAAGGAATGCCAGTATAGGTTTAAGTGTTAAATGTTGTGAATGCTACAGGTTTAGAAGAGAGAAACGAAAATCTGAACTATGGGTTTTAATTGGATGGAAGGGGAAGGTGGGACTAGGAGGAGCCAGGCGATGGGACAGAGAAAGCATGTTTGGAGCAGGTACAAGCTCTCCTCCCCACTGTGGGCCTGCAGTGGGCTGAGGCTGAATCAGAAGGTTCAGAGCCTTCAGAGTCATATAGGACAATTTGGAGAAGAATAATGAGCTACGTAAATAATGACTTTTGGATATTGCAATCCTAATCTTTTTTCTTTCCTAAACTATGTAATTCCAATTTCAGATTGGGGTTAGTACTAGGAGCCCGGTATCCCTTGTTTTCCCCTAGGTTCGGATCCTCAGGCTATGGTCTATGGGAGGCTTTTATGGTATATATTAATACTTATAAAATTGCTTACAGATGTTGTTTATGAGAATTTGGGGTAGAGGGTTCGTACCTCTTATCACGTTCTTTTAAGGAATCTGTGACCCACTGTTGTAGGTCCTGTCCACATATTTTAGCTATACAGTTCCTTGTTTGAAGTATTAACTGTTGGTTCATCTTATTTATAAAATAAACACAATGGTATTTTGGATGATTTTGCCCTCAGGCTTACAAATATTTGCGAGAAGAAGTCAAAACTTTTCAAGGAAAACCAATTAAGGTAAGCAAGACCATTGGTTATACTTGCTTTATTTGCAAATCAGTATTCTTCACTATTCTAATAGAAACTTACATATTTTCAAACAGGCACGGATAAAAGCAAAGGCAATAGCTATAAACACATTTTTGCCAAAGAACGGATTCAGACCTCTGGACATGAGCCTTTACACGCAGCAGCGATACACAGCTTCGTTTTACTTACCTCCAGTCTACGGCCCCCAGCAGCAGTTCCCTCTGTATAGCCTGATCACCCCTCAGGCGTGGTCGGCAACGCACAGCTATCTTGATCCACCCCTGGTGAGTCTTGTCTTTACTTGGAGCTTACATAGCAGAAAGTTATATTGTGGGCGCTGCACTAGGTGCTTTGAAGGATAAAGATCTTCAGCTCATGGGGGAACCAGATATGTATGCCCTTTGCCATAGTAAAACAGACCTTCACGTTCTGTTTTAAATTTAATTGGGAGATAAATATGGAGCTACTACGTACACTAACAAAACCTTCAAATACTGTCAGTGCTTTGCCCAGGTCGCCTCTCGTCCTGTCCAGCATTTCCTTTCCTAAGCTACGTGATCCCTAGTAAAGCACAGCGTGTGCTATGACTCTGGGATAGCTGGGGTACTTGTGAGCGCAGAGGGGAGTGCAAGGGGAGATGCTCCTAAGGAGAAAAAGGTGTTTTACTAGGCTTCTAACAGTCAAGGACAAGTAGAAGACACATTGTCTTACAAGCCTTATTTTTCACACTAGCCCTAGAGTTAGTTGGCATGACTGATTTTTACAGATTTTGGCCTATGTTAAGGCCTACGGTTGGAATTCATTTGTTTGTAATCCAATCATTTTTCTCCAGGTATGCTGCTGTAGATGTTAGAAAAATCAGGTGGGCCCTGACTGGGACTTGGCATGAATTTGATGTAGTGGGACATGAGGATCAGGGCTAATCTGAGGTATGAAAAGTAGTAGTCATTCAGCTCCTACCTGGGAGTATAGAGATGGGCTGCTGGAAAGGAGGCTTGTGAGGCTGCAAAGCAGGTTTATCTGGAACTGGAGATGGAAGAGTTGACCACGGGGGAGACTGGTCAGAAAGGAATCGAGTTAACAACTCTGAGGATATGGCTGTGGACCACGTCAGGGAAAGTTGGTCTGGTCTCTCAGCTGTGGGGTGCTCGGGTCACAGTGAGGGAGATGTGAGGGAGATGCCGTGAGCCGAGCCCCATCATGTGGGGACATCACCTGAGGCTCTTGTCACCACTGGTGGGTAGAACAAGATTGGTAACTCACTCGTCTGTAACTCACTTGTCTGTCAGTTGCCATGCTGTGATGGCAACTCACATAGAAGAACTAGAAGGACTTACAACTATGATATACAACCATGCACTGCGGCTTTGGGGAAGGAGGAAAAAAAAAGAAGATTGGCAACAGATGTTAGCTCAGGGCGAATCTTTCCATGCAAAAAAAAGAGGGTGGTAACTGAAGAGGGTGGCTTGAGAGAAGGTGCACTGGGATGGTTGGTGCCTGTTACATGCTGGAGTGTAAAGATGTGCGTCCTTGAGAGAGCACACAGTCTGGAAAAGACTAGTATGTCAAGCAGGCGATAATTACAGAAATGGGACATAGACACAATACTGTGAAACTTATAATTAGGGGTTTATCAGGGATCGTGTCATCATCTAAGTGGAGTTTATTAGAAGGAGTGGAAGGGAAGGAAGCTGCCTGAGAGGAAGTGGCATGTGCAGAGGGCCCTGGGGTGATTTTGTGGAGAGGAGGTTGGTGAGTTCTATCAGGGCCAGACTGTCCAGGTTCTTAAAAGTGGCCTGAGGCTTGTGGACTCGCGTGTGGTGCTTGAGGGACGTGAGAAGGACAGCCGTGAAAGAGATGAGTCGGGAGAGAGCCTCAGGGCACAGAGCCCTCAAAAGTGAAAGAACAGCTCGCAGATAAGTGCTGACATTCACAGTTGTTTTTCTTTCTTTTGAGTGAATCCTAATGGTAAGAAAATGTACTACTTTTTTGAAATATTTACTGCATTCTGTATCAGTGTACCAGTACCCATCTAGCTAATATAGCATGAGAGAACCTTAAAGGGAAACAGAGTCCATAAACTCTTGTGGTGCATAATTTCTCCAGAGGAGGCTAACCGCTATGCCTGTGCTATTTAGTTCTTCTTCACTTAAGTTGCTTTTCTATTTCTCCCTCGTGTCTGTCCCTCTCCCAAATGGGGTCCTTTGGGCTTCTGCATCAGTTATCTGGCCATTTGGGACGGTTCCTCTGACCCTGGTTTGGGGGCGTGAGGCCCTTCTGCTTGCTCTGAAACACTGTGTCATTCTGACCAGAAGTGGAGAGAGGATGCTTGTTAATTCTCAGCAAGTTGTGTTACATTATCATGTTAGTAGCCAATTTACTTGTTTTTTTTTTTTTTTTTGATGTTTTAATAGTTTGTAACATTGTGAAATTTTGAGTTGTACATTTTTGTTTGTCCATCACCATATATGTCTCCCTTCACCCCTTG